GAGGCGTTTCTGGGCCGCAGGCAAGCAAAGTGCCCCTTTCTCCCTCTTTGAAGGATGCTGGGGCCCTCGGGGGTCGCGTGGGACCTGTGACAATCAGCGGCATTATGACACTCTGGATTCCAGCGGGGCGGGGACATCACCATCCCAGTCCTGCACGCACCGCTGGGGCTGCAGCTGCGGACAGGACTGGTATCCCCTTCCCGTCCGGTGAAAGCCCATCGCTTTTCCCCTGCTGACCAGCTGCCCCTTAAAACCCCCCTTCCCCAGGACCCTGGGGCTGCTCAGGATCAGAAGTGGATTTATCAGGCTTTAATGGAATGACAGGAAGAAGACTTTGCTCTGCAGGTAGGGGTGGTTATGAGAGAAACGGAGGCTGAGAGACACCGAGCGGGAGGGCAGGCAGCAGACGGGGGGACTGGCTGAGAATGCAGGTTTTGGATCTGCAATTAGGGCCCTCCATGCCCTTCTACATTTCATATACCTGCCTGGTCACCTGCCATATAAGGACCCACTGGAGCTGGTGTGGGGGAGACCTTCCCTTGGGAACTGAAGGTGAGAACGTTAAATGCCAGAGATAAGGGAAGTGTAGAAGTAAAAGGTATCCAACGCCTTCCCCCTGCCCCCACTCCTGGCAAGTGGGTCATTTCATTGCTCAGGTATGTACGGCATTCGGAGCCTCTGGTACTACCTCGAGCAAGCCGACTCCCAAGGGTAGCGGTAACGTGCCAGTGCGGGCGCACAGGGCAGGAGCACGCAGGGCTCAGCTCCAAAGCTTTGGCGTGGTTCTCCCTCGGGCAGGAACCCACGCTGGACACTGGCAGGGGGGAGCAGAGAGGAAATCGGGGTTTCGGACCAGCCTGCAAGGGCTGAGTTGAGGGTCTCTGATTCTCTTCCCAGCCTCTCGCTGATGCCTTTGCTTTGGGGCGTGCCTGAGCATGGGTTTCCTCGCTGGAGCACGGTGGGGGGGAGCGGGGTGTTGCTGAAGGCAGCGCTGCCTTGAGCAGAGGCAGTTAGGTGAGGATGTGACACAAAGTGAGCTTGTAGTGCCAACACGTAGCTTCCTTTAATGAGGGCAGGGACTTTTCAGGGCCTGCACGTTCAATGACGGACAGGATTTGCAGCACACACCAGTGCAGCGAGCACAGCGTAGAAAACAAGAGTCCCAGCGCAGCGTGCTCGGTTCCAGTGCAGCGTAGCCCTTCCAAGTCCAGCTGCTCAGAGCTTCTGCCTGTGTAGAAGACGGTGTGTTTGTGGCACGTAACTGTGTTTGGGTGGCAGCCAGCTTACCCATGCGTTGCCAGTATGGCTTGCAGAGGTGCAAAGGCTCTTTGAATTAACTGGAAGCACAGGTGATATGTTTTGCTGGAAAGGGCAAGGAAATCTCTTGGGTCCCGTCCAGCTTTGTTCAGAGCAATGAAATTGCAGCAGGGATGACTTTGGCCCATTGCACTCCAGTGACATAGTTCAGAGCTGTAAAACCCTCGGCTCAAGCGTGCAGGGTGTGGGGTGAGATCAGCTCGCTCACCTGAAGTGCGCTGTAGGCTCTGCCAGGGAAACCTGGTGGTTTTGCCAGCTCCTCTACATATGAATGAGTCTACGAGGGCTTTGCAATGAGCTTAACACATGGATAACCACATAATTAAAGGCTGTAGCTTTATAGAAGAGCATTAGCGCTGGTATCTTTAACCACAAAGAGCAGAACTTGAGTCATCAGATGCCAGGGGATGAATTTCCTAGTGGATTGCTCCATCGGGTTGCTGAACTATTGGGCCTGGATCCAGTAGGATGCCGCATCAGACATGAACCAGGAGGGGAAGAAACCTGGCAAGCGGTGATTGTCTGAGCTACAGGTCCTGTTAGCTTGGAGGACCCAGACTTGTAAAAACAGCTCTACAAAACGAGAACTAAACCAAAGGTTAGGTGAGGGCTGAGTCACTTTACCAAGACAACAGTAGCATGCCTGGCAGTTTCCATTTTAGGCTCACCGTCCACTGAATTAGCGGCAAGATCACTTAGATTTCTAGGTCTATAGCCCAAATTACTCTCAATTATTTAAAGATACTGTCCTAGAATATTCTCAGTTAATTAAAGATATTGTCCTAGAATAAAATGCAATACATCTCAGGCTGTCAAGTTTAAAGGAGACCAGAGTCAGCAGGTCTAAGGTGGGCTGCAGATCCAACATGCCCAAAGCATGAGGCTGACTGGAGCAGAGTTTCTGATTTCATCCCCTTTCTGGTGTTAAAATTCTCTCGGTTGTGTGATCACAGCTTTGTACCTAAAGCTTGGCTCTTCTTTATCAGGCTGTGTTTCTCTCATAGCTGCATCCTCTGCCTAGCTTACCCTTTGTTATCAGTGCAGATAGGTAGGAGGGAAGCGGGACAGAGGACAGTGATTCAATCCTGAGGAGTCTGTGGCTGTGTCAGAGACGGAAGATAAATCACCGCAGCCTGTGACTCCTAGGCCATTCTTGCTGCTGTCTTGATTTCCTGCTAGCTTAAGTACTTGCTGAACAATGGACTCCCACCCACCAGTGTGTCAAGGTTACTCTTCACAAGTTCTCTTGTCTGTATTGTTTTGCCATAGGCACGGTCCGAAATGGATAAGTACCTTTCAAATGAGGTGCCACCCATCCCAATGGTACCAGACAAGAAGTACCGCCGGGATAGTGCCTCCGTGGTGGATGAGTTCTTCTCCACAGACAAGCCCACTTCTACGCCCTACAGCGTGAACATCAATGTGATCCTGCCAGACACGACGCACCTGCGCACGGGACTTTACCGGCCACCCAAACCCATGACGCCATTCCCGCAGATCAAAACAGAGCCTGGCACCAGCTTCGCCCAGCCCTGCTCTTCTGCCTCCGGCTCCACACAGACCCTGCCCGACTTCACCAGTGTCTTCAGCATGCCCCAGTCAGTGGCAGTGAACAACATCTTCATCAAGCAGGAGATGCCCTCTGAGATCCCCTTATCCACCAATCCACAGCAATCCCAGCTTTACCAGATGCCTCTTGGCAACGGAAGCGCTGACATGACCACTCTGACATCCTCCTCCAACAGCACCACAGCCATCAACAGCCTCAGTGGTGTCACCATGTCCACAGGTAACACCATGTCCAGTGTGGTCCACAGACATGTCCAGCCAGGAGGGCCGGTTAAGCAGTACCCACACGTCTCCCAGGGACAGGGAAACTTCAACATCTCAGGGCAGTTCTACGCAGTTCCAGGGGTGAACCTGCCCCCTTCACCCCCCAACTCACAACCTGGCAGCCCAGAAAATCAACCCGAGCTCATCAACACCATCTCTCCCCCACCATCCTATGAAGCCACTTTTGGACTGAAGTTGGTCCAGTCATCCCAGGTGCCCCCAGTCCCCAATGGCCTTGGGACCCTCTCCCAAGGGCACATCGTCATGCAGCCCCCCAAATACAACAGACGCAACAACCCGGAGCTGGAGAAAAGGAGAATCCATCACTGCGATTACCCAGGTATGCTCATGGTTGACGTACTGGCTTGGCTTTGGGGTGGGGGGAGGAGGTCTCTTCTTGACACACAGAGGCTGGGGGCTGCCTTGGGCATCTGCAGGAGTTTAATGTGAAATCACTTTGTCTGTATGATGAAGGGAGCTATGGAGCTGGGTGGAGAGGCCCAGGGAAGTGGGGTTCCTACCACCACCAAGGGAGTAGGAAAGGTCGATCCTGCCTGCGCTAGCTGATGCCTGTTTTCTCCCTTTCCCCTTTGCACTCTGGCAAAAGCAAGCCTGACTGAGAGGCATCTTACTCCTGCAAAGCATGGGTATGCTCCTGGAAATCTGCTGCCTTAGCGGCCCGTTTCGCTCTGGTCTTGCCTAACCCTGAGCAGCCACACGCTCTCCGCAGGTGAAACCATGCTGGCTTTCTCACTGACCTTTCCCTTCCCACTCTCCCACAATGGGTAGCAAACCATCAAGTAATTTCCATAAGCAGCCTTTATGGTCTTTCTCTGTGGCCCAAATTCTCTTCTTCCAAAGAGGTAACGAGCCGAGTATCTCTGCATCATATCCTTCAGCGGCTTCATGTACTGCATTGGGATGGTGTGGAAAGGCATTTCAGGGTCATGAGCAGCGCAGAGCTGAAGTTGTTCCCTGTGTGTCACCTCATTGCAGGAGCACGTCCATCTAGAGACCTGCAATGCCTTGGCAGGAGGAGATCTTAGAATCATAGAATCATAGAATTGTTTAGGTTGGAAAAGACCTTTAAAATCATCCAGTCCAACCATTAACCTACACTACCAAGTCCACACTAAACCAGTCAAGGGTAGACCAGACTGAACCATGTCCCCAAGTGCCACGTCTGCCCGTTTTTTGAACACTTCCAGGGATGGTGACTCCCCCACCTCTCTGGGCAGCCTGTTCCAATGCTTGACCGCCCTTTCCGTAAAGAAATTTTTCCTAATTTCCAACCTAAACCTCCCCTGGCGCAGCCTGAGCCCATTTCCTCTCGTCCTATCGCTAACTACATGGGAGAAGAGACCAACACCCACCTCACTACAACCTCCTTTCAGGTAGTTGTAGAGAGCGATCAGGTCTCCCCTCATCCTCCACTTCTCTAAGCTAAACACCCCCAGCTCCCCCAGCCGCTCCC